AAAGTTAGACTCCTCAGTGCTGTGCTTTCGAATATTCCGAACGTAAAAAAGTCGGTCCTAAGTTTTCATAAAGTATAAAAAGTGATAGTGAAGGGTCAAGTGATGAAGAATCAAAACTCAGAAGAAAACTTCCCAGGACACCGACATTTCAGCAGTAAGCAATTTATTTTTACAAGTATACTATTCTATAGATTGAAACTAGACTTGCATTACATGATAAACATCCTTTACAGATTTCCTAAAGATAAAGTTCCAGCCTCTTAGTTTGATAAACATCTTTATAGATTTCCTAAGGATAAAGTTCCAGCTTTGTTATTGTCCATACCCAGTCTTCTTACTGAGCTAGATCACCATATTTTTGTACCAGTTGGTGAAAATCATGTTGTTCAATTGAGCAAGAGCATCATCAAGAGTTACTGCAAAGTTAAATTTTATCATCTTGGAAAGAAGACCACTGAGAATTCATCTGGATAAAAAATTAGAAAGAAATTAAACAAACTTGTACTTTTTATAAACCACCAATGATTTATACATGGAATGTATCAGAGGAAGTTAATTAGTATTACTAAAAATTTAGAGTGAAAACCACCCAAGATGAAAGTGTAGACACTGTCTCAAACATTTTGCTAAATATTTACTATAAAACTGCCCAAGCTGAAAGTGCAGACTCTGTCTCAAACATTTTCAACTAAAAATTTACAGTCAACAATGTCCAAGCTGATAGTGCAGACTCTGTCTTAAACATTTTATTAAAGATTTACAGTGAACAATGCCCAAGCTGAAAGTGCAGACTCTGTCTTAAACATTGTACTAAAGATTTACAGTGAATAATGCCCAAGTGCAGACTCTGACTTAATTAATTAAACATTTTACTAAAGATTTACAGTGAAAATTGCCGAAGCTGAAAGTTCAAAGTGAAGACTCGGTCTTAAACATTTTACAGTATAAACTGCCTTCGCTGATAGTCTAAACGTTACTTACCAATTTTTTGTTTCCATAAAGTGGTGCCAGAAACTGTATAAGAACATGTATATTATACGATATTTCACCAGAGAATCATTCACAGTTTGAATATGCTCTTTACACTTGACAATATAAAAAATGCAGTAATTCGAGATTTTTAGCTTTAAATGCGATTGAAAGACAACAACATCGCCAATTAATGTTTTTCTTGTAACCTTTTCGAAAAAAGCTGCGATTTCAAGGCAAACATATCTCAAAACGGTATTTTTAATCCACAAATGCAGAAAAGTATAGTACTTTCTATAGCATTTCATTGATGAGTGGGAACGACCAATATGGCCGCCGCCTATTTTCATGGGGGAAACCGCTGAGATTTTTGGCTTCAATTTTGTATTCTGAGATGCGCTATCTAGTGTATATGAGATATCTATATCTCACCGCTGTCTACCGTGAGAACAACAACTAATGCCAAAACACATCAAAGGTCCCAATTGCCTCATCATTTCCATAGTCTTTTAAAACATGGTTTGGAAACTCCGCTAGTCTTTGTTCTATCTTTTTGTGAACACATTGTATTTCAGTACAATGAACGAATCATCCAATAGCAACGTTTCAGTCATTCAGCCATGCTATTTAAATATTAATAAGCCTGAAACAAAGGATGTGCACGGTGTAAGGTATGGCTCAACATAAACTCACAGCTCATTGTGAAACCAGTTTTCCACTTCAATCGTATCGTACCGAAACGTAGCGTATTTCTTTGTTCCCTGGCCGGGCCGGTTGTATAAAAAAGTGATTAAAATTAATTATAGTTAGTGGAAACGTCATCCAATAAGAAGCGCGTATTTGAGAGTTAATCACTATTTAAATATAAAATAGTGATTAAGAAAGTGATTAAAGTTTTATACAACCGCCCCCTGATCGGTAGTGTGGAACTAAGAATGACTTTGACTTTGTTTTAGCCTAACTCAACATGTTCAAGTCCCTGTCATGTCCAACACATTCCAGCGGCAACACCCTTGATTTAATAATAACTGGAAAAACTGACAATCTAGTTTCTTCTGTGCCTAGAACTGGCTGTTTGTTCTCAGATCATATGCCTGTCTTCTGCGAACTTGATATGGGTAAGGTACCTTTTACTAAATCAAAAGTTTCGTATCGGAATGTCTCGGCGATGAATCTGGATGCTCTGCGAGCTGACCTTTTTAACTCTGATCTCTGTAAAAACACTGATATGTTTGATGTAAATGAGCTTGTTATATGTTATAACGAACCCCCTGAATCAACCATAAATAGACATGCTCCACTACTAGAACTAAAACGATCGTTACTCGGCCTTGTGAACCTTGGTTTAACACTGAAGTAAAATCTGCAAAAAGAGAGCAAAGAACTGAACGAAAATGGAGAAGAACTAAACAGCTTGATGATTTTGAAATCTACAAATCTAAGAAAAACTATATGATATTTGTAATGAACCGTTCTCGGAAAAAATTTTATACAGATTTTGTCCTGGAACATAGTTCAGATCAATGGAAATTATTTAACGCCGCAAACTGTGCTAAATCTCTCTTTCATCAGGGAAATGATCTTAATTTCCTGCATATGAAGACCAGATTATGTTAGCTAATAATATCTGAGAATTCGATGAATCTGTTGCATTTAATTAATGCCTGCTTTGATTCATTTGAGCAATTGAGTGAAGATGTAAAAAAATTGATAACTAAATCAAATGGGAAAACTAGTTCATGTGATCCAATGCCGACTTCGATTGTTGTGCAGTGTCAAGATATTCTTCTTCCTATACTTACCAGGATGATAAACATGTCATTAGATTCTGGTGTTTTTTCCTGATGAATGGAATGTAGCGGATGTCCGTCCTTCATTTAAGAAATCGAATTTGGACACGTGCACTGCTTTTGAAAATCTTAGACCTGTTAGCAATCTATCGTACGTATCGAAGCTTACTGAACGTACAGTCTTCAATCAAACAAACGATTTTCTGAATACACAAAGATTGTATCCTCAGGGTCAGTCGGCATATCGTAAATTCCATAGCACTGAAACGGTTTTGCTACCTGTAACAAACGATATCATGATGAATATGAACTGTCAACATGTCACTCCATTGGTAATGCTAGATCTTAGTTCTGCATTCGACACCGTTGATCATGATATATCCTGCTTAGTAGACTGAATCATGAATTTGGAATAAAGAGGCGAGTTCTAGAGTAGTTTACTTCTTATCTCAGTAAACGTTCTCAATTTATTTCAGTCAACGGTGGCCGATCTAGACTTTATGATGTATCGTGTGGAGTCCCTCAAGGATCATGTTTGGGTCCCCTATTATTTGTACTATATTTAGTAAACTGTTTAGCA